CTGGTTGAACATAAATACCTCCTGCCGAAACTCGACAGCTTCATTGCTTCTCCCAGAAGTCCTCACTAAAGACATCTTGACCCAGGTTCTGAATCCTCCAGAGAAGGTCCACATGGAGTAATTCCTCTCGCAGTCCCTCATAAACTTGGACTTATTTGCACTAAAGAGTTGGAAAACACAAGTAAACACTGAAATTGAAAATACACTACTGCTGCTATCAGTCAAATAGCCTTTTTAAAATCACTCTTTGTCACATGGGGCATTAGGTAGCAGATTTATAATGGCATTTCAGATAAGCCGTCAGTATAGATAAACTAATTGGACTGATGCCTGAACTCTTATGGCAGATAAAACACAAAATGCCTCCTTCAACACCTTTCTCCTAAATGACAGCAAATCTAATCTAAAACCTTTACTAGCATTAAATATATATTATAATGTATAAATAATGTAGTTCAGTGATGTTGCTTCTGGCATAATCTCCCTTAAATACCATAAAACGTTCTGAAATCTACAAATAAAAAATTCTATTAATGATCAAATTTGATAAAAATGTAATCTAAAACAACATGTTACTGGTTAAGATAACCATGTACTGGTATATTAGATTGTAATGTGCATGGAATAATGGAAATATACATTACTTTCTCTCCCTGCTCTCTAAATATCAGCCATTAAAAACCCACATTGGTCGACCACACAGTTTACTTAACTGACATTTCAGTATCGGTTCATTATCTGTGTTTGTGAGCCTCTGCGGCTATCACACCAGTCAGACATCACTTGGATCAATACCTGTTTGCAGTTACCTGTGAGTGAAGTCACTAAACTTGGCAAAAAGCATGTAAGTGATGGCGCTGAAGTCCTCTTCTGTTTCATTATGACTGAACTGCATGAAGATCAACTCTTTGTTTCGGACATCAGACGGGCCACGGACCACCAGAGCTCTTTTCTGTGAAGTTGAGAGTTAATTAATTAGTCAATAATCTTTCTTTAAAGCAAAAAGTGGGTCACGTTCACAAATCTAATAAGTGATTAATGTTTACTTAAGAGCTGAGAGCTGTAATTCATGTCCGTGTTTTTATGGCTGACCTCTGTTTCATTGGTAAAAGGCCCAAAGTACGTCACGTTGTCAATCACACAGTCTCCTTCCTGAGGTTTGCCTGGGTCCACTAGAGGTGGGATGTAGTCATGGTAGTGATGTCTGCAGCTCAGTAGCCGAGCTTTGCCGGGGTACAGGGCGATACCTGAGCAAAGGAAGCACATTTAAACATACGACAAGGAGTTTTTAACTGGTTATGAAACATACAATTTTATATTGATGCCTTTGTATGACATACATAAAAAAACAAGACCATCAGTGAGAAGATATATTTCTATAAAGTTATTGTTAACGTCTGCCACTGGTCGGATTCCCCTTGAAACCAATTAAACTAGGTGGTAGAAACACTACCACCTATGACCACAGGGGCCGCCAGAATCTACAAAACATAAAAGGTCCTTGTAGGTTCTTTAATATCGATTCATTACATATAAAATACAGCAGCGAGCTATTAGCTGTTTATTATGTTGAACCACTTTCAATTTATATTTATATGATGTTCAAACTGCCCCCAAAACTTTCACTGCCTGATATCACAGCCTGGTTAAAGTTCATAACACCATAAACTTTATAAACTGCCCATAAACTGTTTGTAAGATGATATTATATATTATATAATATATTCTCTATGGCTCAACATTAGCTTCACACTGTTTAATTACAGTGTTTTGACTATTAAAAAAAGCAGTTTGTTCAAATGAATTAAGTTATATATGCGTATAAAAAGGGGTAAAAGATAGAACAATTCAGTTTGTGTCTGTTACTTAGCTGCCCTGCTATAGGTACAAGTTGTATAAGTACATTAAATATAAGTATTGTACCTACTACTACATACATGTCATCCAAATGTTATAGTTTTTACTCCACTACGTTTATCTGAGCTACAGTTGCTAATTAATTCATTATAACAAGGTTTTAAATACAAAACATACAATAAGTTAATAATAACCCTAAATAAACACCCCAACAGTATATAAACCCAGTACTTTTTCTGCATGACAAGTCCTTCAATACTTAAGTCGACTTTTAATGTTAATATTTTTGCACTTTTACTTAAACTTTGAATACTTTAATCTTTAATACGTTTATTTAAATAAAACATCTTCCACCACATTACCTAGTAACCCAGTCACGGTCCCAAATTACCCTCCAAATTACCCTCCTTTATGTATTATTTATACGAACCCGGGGGTGAAAACGAGTCAACCTCTTTGTAGGTGACGGACATGACGGGGTGGTTGAGTTTCGCCAAAAACTCAGAGATGGTCTGGTAGGCCAGGAACACCGCCACGGCAGTCAGCAGCAGGTAGATGAAGATGAGCACCACAGTAAAGACATTCTTCAGGCAGGCTTTACTGAACCTCATCGATGGACTGTATTCCCTGATGTCGTCCTCTGCAATGAACAGAGTCAGAACATGTCTCACGCTCTTTGTATGGATGTATTAAGGGTCATATTACATAATTAAAATGTAATAACTGTGTACAGGCAGTAGTGGTAAAGTCTAATTAAAGCAGAGTGAGACTGTGAGATGTTATAGATGAATACAGACCAGTTTTAACCACATTAAAGTTTCTTTTTGATGCTGAATCTATTGGTTGGAGAGTGTTTAATTAAAAAAGTTCTTAAAAATATATTTTTAAAGTAAAAAAAAGCTGGCAGCTGTGGTTGCCATAACTTTACTGTAATAAATACAGTAGAAATGTTTTAACTATTACAGTAAATACAGTACAAATACAGTAAACTATTACAGTTTTGCCGTATAAATACCATATCAATGCTTGTATAGGATATGATTGTGGTTTTCTGTGCAATTTACAGGCTGTATTATAAAAAAACGACTTTATTCCTTGTAAATTAATTTAAAATGACGAACAAATAAATGTTTTGAAATATGAAATATTTCCCTGATAAATATGATGTTTTTTAACTGTTACAGAAACTGTATTTAACCTATTTAGAGTTTAAAGTCTGTTTGTAGTTGTGAGTCTTCACTGGTTATTACCTGGTGAGATGCTGTCGTTCGGCTCCTCGGGCTCCAGGTGTTCAGTGGTGTCGTCAAAATAGTCTGGAGACCGTGTGTCACCTTCATCGTCTTTATCGTCATTGAACTGCGAGGATGAGAAAAAGGACAAAGAAATATCGTCTATAACTGATACGCAAAAGTGGAGAAAGTAGACTTATGTATAAAATTAAAAGCAGTAAAATGTGCTTTAGTAATTGTTTCACTTTGACCCATAACCAATAAAACAACTTAAAAACAGAATATTAACAAACAAGTAATAATAAATAATAATATTATATATATACACATCCTTTATTCCAACAGCTGGAACCATCCTTTAATAAAAATGTGTTTAGACGGACCAGATTGTGAGGAGGGATAATCTCTGTGTCTCTTGGCAAAACTGCATTCACTATACAAATATAATGTAACCTGATATTACCCTGAGCTTCATTAATAAGAAAAAAAAACTCTTACTTTACATTTTGTAAACAATTTAACTGTTTTAAATAGTAAAAGTTTCTTACACAATGAAAAAATTATTTATCTTCGGGTTAAATAAAGGTTTAAAATGTGGATTTCTTCCAATCTTAAATTAAAAGTCATAAAAGAACAACATTTATAAAGAATTAATAGTGATTACAACAATTAAAACTACCAATATGATTTATATAATGTGCATATTATTAGGGTTATATTACATTTTATATTGCTTTTTTACTTTAGATTTATTTGAAATGTATATAAAATCACAAAGTTAACACTGTTTCACACACATAACAAAATAAGTACACCAAACCAGACAACAGTATTACAAACAATACATCTGTATACTGTATTATATCACAATTAAACATTCTAAACATGTAGCTGTAGTACAACTGCACTCTAATAACAGCACTAGTAGTAAAAAACAGGGCTTATAAAGGCATGAATTACAGTGTTTTAACATACATTCATTATGCCACCACTCCTACAGTGACTTAAAGCTTTAATGAGACAGTTTAAAGATTATTTTAAAGATTATTTCAGAGCATGTTTGTCTTTAGAATAACAGGCTGCAGCTTTCAGCTCAATAACCAGGTGGACTCAGAAACCATTAGTCAGCGGATTTCATGTTATAGGAAGCACGACGGTCACATGATGTCAAGTGAGCTGGATAGTTCGTGGACCCTCCGTGTGGTGAGGAAGTTACACTGAACTGAAACTATTAAACCTTATTGAGACATTATATTTAAACTCTGACACACACACACACACACAGACATAAAGGAAGCCATATAAAGTCCTCCTACCTCTTGGTATGACCGGGTGTTTTCCTTCCTGAGCATTCCTCTTGCACTTCTTCCAATGCCCAACGCTTCCTCTGCTCCTCAGTGGGAACTCTTCGGCTATTTGAGCAAAGTTTGAAAGCTGCTTTTAATACATAACAGGTGCATTATAAAGGAAATATAACCCCCCCGTCCCGTGGTTAGGTCCCAGTTTTCCGCTCTACAGGGAGACACACCGCACACCCATGGGGTTTTTGTTTTTTTTGGCGACGATAAAGGCCCATCCCATGATAATGAAGCACCTCCAGCCCGGCCTCCAATACTATAACCCTTGTGTCCTTAACGAGGTTTCCTTGTTTCCTTTCTCCTTCCCCTTTCCTAGTGCTGCCTTGAGGTGCCGCTCGTAAAAAGTGTACACTGCAAGCTTAAAGAGCTCAGGTGTGTGCACATATACAAAGGTTGCTCTCAATGTACAAACACAGATTAACAGCACAAATAAACAGGACAACAAGTTCAACAATATAGACTAATATGTACAGTTATACATGTATAAACAATAACATCTGAAGACAGCAGACAATAGTGAAGAGTGCAAAGGAGGACAGGTATTTTATGATGAACTAACCCTTTAACTTATAGTGGTACAAATTCCCGACGGCTGTTAAACGCAGCGGCAGCCCCATGCAGCAGGCAGGGAAGTGGTTGACAAGAGTTTCCGCATTAAACTCGTCCAAACAACGATCCTACCATGGCAACAGCGCGGATCTGTGTCCTGTGTGTTGTCCTTTGCACGACTTTGGCCGAAGATGTTAAATTAAAGTATAAAGCCTCCACCAAACCTGTCCGATTATTCACTGAGGAGGAGCTGAGGAGATACGACGGCAGCGAGGTAAACTTTAGGTTTCTATCCCACAATCCAGGGTGTGTGTGAGTTTTTATGTCTGTCAGTGTGTGTGCCTCCCTAAATGTTATTTTGTGATAACGATTTATCTCTCTTTTCCCCTGTTTTTCGCCCCCTCCCTCCCTTTCTTAGGAGGGACAGCCTATTTACATGGCAATAAAAGGAGTGGTGTTTGATGTCACCAAGGGAAAAGGTCAAGAAAACAACCACTTAACCCCTGATTGATACAATTAAAACTGATTAAATCTAACAAAACTATTGAATTAAAGTTAATTTGACACACCACTTGACAGCCTTTCCTCATTTCTCCTCCAGATTTACTGAATCTGATGTTGCATTCACTGCACTGTGTTGATCTGATATTTCACCCCATTGCAGAGTTTTATGGAAAAGATGCACCGTACAACGCCCTGGTTGGGAAGGACTCCACTCGGGCTGTGGCTAAGATGTCCCTGGACCCAGCAGACCTGACATCAGATACCGTAGGTTTAGTGTGAACACCCACAGTCTAATGTTTCCACACACTTCAGCAACCCAACTGTGTGGACTGCAGTGTTTCCCAAAGAGTGAGGATGTATTTGTCGTGGTTCACTCCCATGGGTGGAGAGCACCGACATCTGACTCCAGAAACAGCATTGTATTCCTAATCTACATAATTATACCGAAACCTTATAGTTTCAAATGAATGCACCACTCTTTCAGGCGTTTTAATGCATCTTTACACACTGTAGACTTTTGAAAGGAAGAAATAAAAATCATGTAAGCGGACAGCAAAATTCTACATATTGTAAACAGGTAAAAGCAAATTCTTGCAACACTTTAGTTGCTAAGAGCCATGAACACTGTTCACATTACAGAGATTATTTTTCACTTGTTTAACACGAAGATGCATTTACTCAGGGAGTAAATGGAGGTAATATATTACAGGACCTCTGATGGACTTACTTGTGTGTGTTTTAAGACTGCTTTGTGTGACTGATTTGTCTTGTTGAGAGACAGAGATATTGATCTCAATGAGACTTCTTGAATAAATTAAGCTTAACTCTAACGCACTCAATATTAAGAGTCTAATCTTAGAATTTACTCCCTGAAATGGATCTTGAAATTAAATACAGACTTAGATACTCAGTAGTACCTCGTGAGTAGTATCCAAATAAGAAGACTTGATTAAAAATGGTGATACAAGTAAAAAGAATAAAAAGCCAGTTAGTAAAATAATACAACCTTGAAGTAATTTAAATTTAAAGCGACTGAATTAACTAAAACAAGAACAACTGTAAATGAAATAAGATTAAATTAAATTAAATGTCTCTTCCTGGGCTTTTATTCTTTGGCTACTAAACTTCTGTACTTTTGTTGACTTAAATATTAAAATAAAAGTAATAATCAAGTCTTTTTTTTATACAGCCCAAAATACAAATGACAAATTTCCCTCAAAGGCCTTTAAAATCTGTGCTAATAAAAGTTTTGCATCTTTCTGTCCACAGACGGGCCTCACTGAAGAGCAGCTGACTTCTCTGGACAGCGTATTCGAAGGCACGTACAAAACAAAGTATCCCATTGTTGGTTACACGGCATCACGCATCCTCACTGAGGATGGTAGTCCCAACAAAGACTTCAAACCAGAGGACCAGCCTCATTTCCAAATCAAAGATGAGTTTTAATCTCAGACTCAGAACCCAATATGTGATCGGTGCGATACGTGTACAACCGGAGAACAAATACATTTGATGGAAATACTTTAATTTTTACTTGAATTGCAGCTTTACATGATGATTTATTATCTGTGAGAGCTTTAACATGCACAGACCTGAAGAAACCATTTCAATACTTACTGTAGTAACTCAAATTTAAGATGAGCACAGAGAAACTTTAGTAGACTCTTCAGCAGATGAATGTGAAAACATCCTTTTAGTGTTTAACACAGTGAAGATCAAACATCAATAAATGAAGTAACATTATCTAGAACTTATATTATACTTTCACTGAAAGACCATCTACCTCTTTAGACCAGTGAGAGTGAGCAGACAGATCAGATGCAGTAATCTAACTTAACATCAGCTCTCACATTCGCCTGAATTACATTTTAGTTGAGCTGCCACTGAAGATCATTTTCATCATTAATGGCGCTTAATTGTTTAGTTTATTGAATGCCAGAAAATAGTAAAAAACGCCCAGAACTTATGTTAATATCTTCGAATGTCTCATTTTCTCTCAACATATTCAATTTATAATGATTTAAAGTGGAGAAAAACAAAAAAGCCAGAGTCAAAACAATATCTTCTGCTTGATAAATTACTTAAAATTGTTGCCAATTCATTTCTAATTAATTGTTTCAGCTTTAGATTTTAGTGTAAAATGTTGTATTTATGTAATTAAAACCACTGAATCTGCAGCACTGTGAATGTTTATATGATCACAATCAGTCCATTTTGTTTTCTGCCTGATTTTTGCTTTTGTACAATTATCATTAAAGTCTGTAAAACACAAACTTCTTACAGTTTTATTCACTTCAGTTTTTTTAACACCAAACAGACACGGTGCACTTGGGATGATATCTTGATATGATCTCTTTATGACAGCCCATGACTCACTCATGTCACCTTCAAACTGGCAACATAAATAGTACATCCGGGCATATATAGCCTTGCATGCGCCGATCAAAGGTCACAGCCGTTTCAGGTGCTGAGGCAGGTGATTGTCATTGGGTGGAGTTGTGCGTCTTGCTGTACTGGGTGGTCACGGTGGAGGTAAGCCTGCCAGTTTGTGTGATAGTCGTCCCACGTCACTGCGAGTGATCTACAGCCGAGTTCAAAGGACACAAGCCCTGCCCTTGATTCTGCCAGCGAGAGCGGAGCTGCGTTCTTTATCAGGTGGAGGTTCTGCTGGGAGTCGGCCACTGCAGCCTCAGTCAGCCTGGGAAACACTTTCTTCTGCTGGAGCTCCCCCACCAACCAGAGCCAAGATGCCCAAAACAGTAAGACTCTCATGATTCTTTACATGTTCTGTAAAAATAATTAAATGCGTCGCTTAAATGTCTCTTCCTGGTTTGAAAGGGGGGATGTGGGTTAATACCTAAATACTAAATACTTATAGAGATAGAGAAAGACCACTGAGAATAACACATATTTAAGGTGGTCAATCATGTATATTTTGACAGATTTAGTCACATCTTTCTTTCTTTGTTCTAGCTTGTGAGTTATTTCCAAGAGGCACCAATCCTTCTTGGCATTTACTCATTAACCAAATGTAGAGTTTGACCCATGCTGCACACATTCCTGGTAGAAAAAAGTGCTACTAAAATGCTACTTTCATGGCTAGTACTGGGCCGTATGTTGTCTGTGTGGTTGTGCAAAGCTGCTAAAAATCATCTTCTGTGACACTGGTGTGATTTGTAAAATGTCAAGAGTGACTTTCATCAACAACTCATGACTGTGTGGTTTAACAACTTTTTTTCTCCCCTCTTTGATTTTCTAAGACAGGCAGCAATAATTGATTTCCCATCTAAAACAAAAGGAACCCTTATGTTTTATGAGTCCTAAATGCCCTCAGTTAGAGTCACTTAAGCATTCAGCATCAGTCTGTGGGAAAGCTGATAAGAAAGGCCGGTCTGTGCATTACGACTGCAACTCTGTGCTTATATTGACACTCCAAGGAGAAAGCCACTCTTGAGAGGTCACGCTGACGTCCGTCTCCGTTTGACTGACGTTAAACTAACTTGAAATCAAACAAATCTATGAGTCAGGGTAGCAGGTCCTGCCTGTGTTGTTCTGGAAAGTGCTGAAATGTGATTTATGAGTAGAAATCTAGCTTAGATTTATAATTAAATTAAATAAAATAAGAGTTTTTTAGATACCAAAAAAATACAGTCAAAGTATAAACAGATCAGAAAACCCTCTAAAGTTAAATGCAGCAGCATACTGATTGATTGTAATGGATTACTGCATCCATAATGGAGATTACCACAGTCAATGATTTGAGAAAAGGTCGGGCTGTGGCAGATAACAGCGAGGAATGCCTTAGTTGGATGTTAGAGAGTTAAGAAGTTATCTTACACATGTGATCATGGAAAGTGGAAACAATTGGGAAATATGTTTGAGGTTTCATAAATGGATGTTCTAGCATTTGTTGCCCAAGTTTCAGCAGGTTTATCTTTATGACAACCGGGGTGTGCTCTAGTGTAACTTCATAAAATGATTGTGTAACTTCTACAAGCCCAACCTCGCCTGCAGTCCAGGGTCAATACAGTTGTCGTATGTTTGTTGAGCTTTCAGGAAAATATGGTGAATAACCCTTTCTGTCGTCTAAGAAATTCTCTCCTAGAAACACCTGAAAGTCAGATTTATGCGCCAGTTCGGTTGCTCTTGTTTTAAAAGAGGTCATTACTTACTAACAATGTTAAAGTCTAAAGGCAACTTGGCAAGCAGGGAGTATTTTGATATTTTAATCAGCGAATGTACAACCTTGTGGCACCTCGCAAGGGTAGTCCAAAGTCTAATGAGATAGTGGGCAATTATGGTTTATGAACAATCCACTTCACAGCTTCACATTAAGGTCTTTTCTTTACTATGACAAAAGTTTCATAATGAAACCATTGAAAGCAAATGTGCCCAAATTACGAAGCAAAATTAAAGTATGACAAACGCAGCATTGATGGATCCAGATTTATATCAGGGACAATGACTAAATGCTGGGACTGGACAGTTTATGTGTATCCAAACAGAAAATCACTGTCATCACGTGACTAAATGACCTTTTTTGTTGCAGGTCAACGTTCGCGTCACCACTATGGACGCAGAGCTGGAGTTCTCCTTCCACCCCAACACCACCGGGAAGCAGCTCTTTGACCAGGTCTGTATGTTACTGTGGGAAAAGCACTACAAGAGTTTGCACAGATCATTTAAGTCTTTACTGGGAACGATAATCTCCTGATAAAGTTCTGACTGTAGTAAGTCAGTCAGTAGATCCAAAGTCCTTTATTATCTCTTATCTTAAGTATTTTCAGCAAAATATACATCAAGTTTTTAAAGTATTTATTGTGCACAAAAATGGCCCCTTAATATTGGATTATTGTGTCTATATAATAATAATTGTATGGAAGTTCTAGGTGGTCAAGCTGCATCCAATTTATAATTACATTATAAAATGTTGAATACATGACAGTGTCTCTTTTATAAGCTGTTTATGTGTTTTTAATGTAAAATCTTCACCAGCAAAGTAATGTAGTGGAGTAAAAAGTACAATATTTTCACTCTGAAATGTATAAAGCACTTCACATACCTCAGAATTATACATAAGCAGTACTCAAGTAAATGTACCTTCCACCACTCGAGATATTATATCAAAGAGCAGAAAGTGAGTCCTAAGACTACCATTATTAAATATTAAATATATATGATTTACTATTATTATTATTATTATTATTATTATTATTATTATTATTGATGATCCTGATGGTAGAAAATCATATTTTATCATACCACCACCACTCAAACAAGATGAATAAAATGCATTTTATCTATAGAAAAGTCTTCAGTACCTGCAACTAATTACACATTTCTGTTGTCGAGTGAAAACAGAAAAACATTTCCAACTATGTGATCATGTTTTTAGTCTGTCTAAGTCTGTCCTAGAAAATGCAGAAACGGTGAGGCAACCTTCTTAGTTCCTGAGAAATTTACTTATCAATACCCCGAAAGCTAAATTTTCCAACAGGATGACACCCTCTTTCTCTGTGTAGTGTATAATTACCTAAACCTTTGCACTGGGCAGGACGACAGCTCCACGATAGAGGGGTCCTGAGGCTTTAAAGCATGTTCATATCAACTACTGTTCTAGTTGTTCAGACCTGACAATCTGCCTGTAACAGACATCTTGTCCAAAGGTTGTTTCTTTAGAATATCAGAAGTGTGATGAATGAAGGAGAGGAGGTGGAGGTCATCTGTTATCATGTCTCCGTTGTTTCTCTGTCTCTGTGCCTCAGGTTGCCAGGACCATGGGCCTGCGGGAGGTTTGGTACTTCGGGCTGCAGTTTATCGACGCCAAAGGATTCCTCACATGGCTGAACTCTGAGAAGAAGGTAAACCTGTGGTTTCTCTGAGTGACTGTGAGGATAACTGCCATCATGTTTGTTTACACTGTGCTACTCAAATCTACATTAGATGTACTTTATTTTACACTATTACTGTACCAAAACTCCACCATATTATCCATTGTGCTTAACTCTATCCTAAAAGTCAGTTATTTTCTTGATGAATCGATTGGTTTTTGATCCTCTAAATTGCCAGAAAATAGTGGAAAATGCACAAAGTGACCTCCTCAAATGTTTTTGTTTTGCCCACAACTCAAATATATTCAGTTTACTGTCACAGAGGACTAAAGAAACCAGAAAATATTCACATTTAAGTAGCTAAAATCAGAGAATATGTTCTTAAGAAATGATACAAAACAATTAATTGATTATCAAAATAGTTGGCGATTAATTTAATAGTTAATCAACTTATTGTTGCAGCTCTAATTCTAATAGAAGTTAATCTACTCCACTCTGTTCTTCTCTACAGCTTTCTACTTAACTGTACTCTGTTGTCTCTCTTCCATACCCGCACAGCCTTTAAACTGGATATTATTTTACTCCATTACTTCTATAAAAGTGGATTTTGTTTAAAGAAATATATTCACACGAGATGTAGAGATCCTGGAATTGTTCATGTTTCAGCTTGGTGTTTTTTTTTTTCATTAGGTCGAATTAGCATTTGTACTGCAAACAGTTGGAGTGGATCTATTTCAACCTCTGTGCTTGCTCGCTTACTGGTTTTCACAAACTCTCAACCGCAGCACGTTCAGATGTTACAACTGACTGCTGACTGTAGTTTATTGGTTATTATGAAAATAAACACACTAAAGATCATCCTTACACCAATTAGTAATCCTGTTTGTGTGTTTCTTTCTCCCCCTAAACACAAATATGTGTATATACATACAAATATATACTCCACAGTATAACCCTAGTACCTCCTACTGCAAGTACCAATGGCTGGGAAAATATTCTTAATCTTAATCTATATTGGCTACTGTACTAAATTCTACTCTAATATAAATTAAACTTTGTCTTACTCATTTAAGTGGTTTTAACTCACGTGTGATTATTTGTTGGTCTTTATTATTTTATTTAATCTTATATTATTTTTACTTTTAATGGTTTTTATTCACACTCAATTGCAGGTCTTTGTTATTTTATTTGATTTATTTTTATTCTCATCTTTTTAATTTTTAAACTTTCTCAAGAGTTTTTAACTCACAGTTAAGTTTATTAACAATAAAGTTCAGCTTTTTTGCTTCCTCTATTCTGTCAAAACATCCCTATTTAACTTGTCTGCTTTCCTCTACTTAACATGTACCATGTTTTCCTATTCCTATTACATCCCACTGTACATTAGTCTACTCTAAATTATTATTATTATTCTTTACTTTCTTTTCTACTGTGTTGTAATTAAATGTACATACTTCATCTAATTTGTCTACCACACCTTGCTGTACTCGTTTATTCATATCTGCTCTGCTCTGCTCAGGTGATGGTCCAAGATGTGAAGAGGGAGACTCCCCTGCAGTTCAAGCTGAGAGCCAAGTTTTACCCCGAGGACGTCAGCGAGGAGCTGATCCAGGACGTCACCCGGAGGCTTTTCTTCCTGCAGGTGAAGGAGGACGTTCTGGGAGAGGATGTCTACTGCCCTCCAGAGACCGCTGTGCTGCTGGCCTCTTACGCTATCCAGGCCAAGTATGGAGAGTACAACAAATCAGTGAATCAGCCCGGTTACCTGGCCTCAGAGCGCCTGCTGCCCAAGAGGTGAGTAGTGGGAGAATGTGTGAGCTGTGTTGGTCATTTCTCTGGTATTTTACTTTATGCACTGAAGTTATCAGAGATCACCTGTCCAAGTCAATCCCTGCAAGGGCAATATATAGAGCAGCATGCCACCTAGGTCAGCAAATATACACACAGTAAATTGGAGAAGAACAAGAACGCTGTCACACAGCTAAAAACAATCAAAGGCTATAGGTGTGGAGTTTTTTAATGCATATGGGAATATATTGATAAATGAATATGAATATAAAGTAATGAAGCTGTACAAAAGCATAGAATAATGACCCAAGAGGTGAGAAGATGAAAAGCAGAAGAGATAAAGTAGAAGGTCAAATGACTCTCACTAAAAGATTAATGATTTATTATATATAACCGAACTTTATTCAAAGAGAATATATAATGTCAAATCTTTGTTTTGTGCATGCCAAAAGGCAGATTGCACTGAAAGAGACAAACAGGCCAACTATTAAACACTGTGACAGTATGGAGTGGTGTAAATGTTGTGAGTTAGAAACCATTAAAATAGAGAATAGCTGATATTACTTTTACAATGCCAATGCTCCAAAAGTGGCATTGAGAAAAGAAATAAAGCCTTAACTACTATTAAACTTCACAAATACTGTTAAAAATATCTGTGACATACAGCACATATTCATATTCAAAGATTGTCCTGTTCAGAAATAGAGTCAAATCAAGTAAGTTTTATTTTTATAGGTCCATATCACAAAGGTTTACAGTCTGTACAACATATAAGACCTTCTGTCCTTAGACCAACAATGAATAAACTCACATCAAAGAAGAACTATTTACTGATCCATCTGAGGGCCTGTGTGTATCAAAAAAAAGTTACTTTCCATAAATAGTAACAATAAATAGAGAAATCTGGATCCTGTTATACCGTATATATAAAGTCCTATTATGTACTCACAATTGCCAGACGGGATATAAAAGACACAACAATACAGCGTGAGTTTGATTTACCTCTGTAGGTATACACAGACTGTTTACCTTTTCACCAGTGGGTTGCTGATAACTGGTCTCTCCTCTCAGAGTGCTGGAACAACACAAGCTGTCTAAGGGTCAGTGGGAAGAGAGGATCCAGGTTTGGCACGAGGAGCACGGATCGATGCTGAAGTAAGTCTGATGGATGACCCTACTGACTCTACCATGTATTTATGTTCATTTTAAAGCAAGACTATGTGACTGAAGTTGAATCCATAAGAAATAACACACACCCTCACTCAGTTTAGTGCATTCACTAATTGTTGTGCTTCATCCACACTCACTCATACTCTGGTATGAGCAGTAGCTGTGTTAAGCTAACTTTAGAGTCATATTGTTGTACTGAGTCAGTTGGCTGACTTTCTGACTCTTCTCTACTACAGTTTAATTTGTCACTGATAGACAGTCATTTGATTTAATCTCCAAAAAGTAAAGACACAATTCAATGTGTCACTATCTTGTAATTGCCACCCGTGGCCACACGGATCACTGTTGCACGAAAGTTAAATCATCTAACTTTAAGGATTTTTTCCACATGCGCATGTTTTTGGGTTGAGGATTGATAACATTTTACAGAATCCAAATGTATTTATTTTATTTTATTGTTCATTAAACAAAAACATCCCACAGTACATTTATTGCACCAGACTTAGCTAAATGTAACTTCTCATCATCTGCAGTCCTTGGGTTGACGTAGTAATAGATTTATTAGACATGGCAAGTAGAAATTCAGTATCAAATCTATGAATGTAAATCTTTGCGATTCCTTTTAATTAATCTGTTTAAATTTAGCTTTAGACATTTGTAAATATCAAAAGGTTGATATTTATTAACTAAAATGCAATACACAGACATGCAGATAACTAAAAATATTAATTTCTCAGACATATTAACTGTTTAATATTTAACTAATTTACTACACACAATACATGTGTTGTAAATTGCACAAGTTTAAAAAAACTTTGTGTATTTTACTAAGTTGGAACCAGATCAGAGCTGGAAGCCAACCCAACTTATGATCAACTCCAAAGTTTAAACTTTTGACTCAGGCAAAAGGGTTAATAGGGAATTATATAATAAACTATATCTTACTTTCAAGCAGTTTGTGTATCTGTGTGGATTAATCCATGTTCCCATCTGTCTGTTTAACCTGAACAGGGAAGATGCCATGATTGAGTACCTGAAGATTGCTCAGGACCTGGAAATGTACGGCGTCAACTACTTTGAGATCAAAAACAAGAAGGGCACAGACCTGTGGTTGGGAGTTGACGCTCTGGGACTGAACATCTACGAGAAGCAGGACAGGTAAGTCAAAGAATCAGTGACTTAATTCTCTGCTTATCAAGTGCAGCACTTACATATTAAAGTCTCTCTTAAAGTGTAGCGTGCGTTGAGTTGATGACATACAGTTGTAGACGGGAGGGCAACACCCGAGCAGTCATCGACCTCTGCTGCCTTCCCTTCCAGTCGGTCAAGTTTTAAATAACGTGTTTGACCGCATGGCTGTTGTTTTTAAGAGGTCATTGATCTAATTCTCTTGATTCTACTACAGCGTGAACATACAAGGTCTGACTGGCCTGATACCACATGTGTCAGTTTCTGCCTGTGTATGTGCTATAAAAACAAACTTTTTAAACATGCTGTTAAGTTTTGTCTGATCACTCCTTTTTTCCTCCTTTCGTCCTCCAGGCTGTCTCCAAAGATTGGATTCCCCTGGAGTGAAATTAGAAACATTTCTTTCAATGATAAGAAATTCATCATCAAGCCCATAGATAAGAAAGCTAATGTAAGTATCCACAGTAGCATCTCAAGTGTGTGTAAATGTGTAAAGATGAGTTGAATGTAGACACAAATACATATAAATAAATGGGATAAAAATGCAGATATGTAAGCCAAGTGGCTTTATTTAAACTTGTATGACCTTTTTAGGGTGACTAGTATGTAACATCTGTGCAAAGACAACATAATATTTGGCACTTAAAGTACAGTTTATTAATGTGGATGATGTGGAAAATACTGTGGTACGAATAAAAAAAAAAAAAAACTTTTACAGAGGCCTGTGAAGTTATTTCAGATAAATTTCTCTTTTATAATCATATCTGTGCTATATAAGGAAATTAAACTTAAACCTTGAGGAAGCTTTTTTGTCAAATAAATGGAAGTAAATTTGATTTATAAATTTGATTTAGCAATTTAGAAACAAACTTCAATGTAGCCTAAGCTACAATGCTTTTTGGAAATATAAGAAACAAAATAAAACTGTCCCTGACATGATGTTTTCTTTTTTTTCCCCCTCCCTCTTTACAAGGATTTCATATTCTACGCTCCGCGACTGCGAGTCAACAAGCGCATCCTGCAGCTGTGCATGGGCAACCATGATCTATACATGCGCCGCCGCAAGACTGACACCATCGAGGTTCAGCAGATGAAGGCTCAGGCCAGAGAAGAGAGGCTACAGAAAAAGAGGGAGAGGTAGGGGAAGGGCTGTCAAATTAAATCAAAATACTAGTCAATTAAAAAAAAGTTACAAAGACAGAGGGATTCAAATTTTAATTTAGGTCATGATTAAAATGTATCATCAGTCTTTTCTTGGTGTGTTGTGCAGGGATCAGCTGGAGAGTGAGAAGAAGAGGAGGGAGGCCATCGAGAGAGAGAAGGAGAACGTGGAGAGAGAAAAGCAGGACCTGATGAGGAAGCTCTACGAGTATGAAGAGACAACCAAGAGAGCAGAGAGAGGTGAGACACTTCACTGACCAACGCTGACCGAGTTTGGTATTCTCCGCTTATTATAGACCACGAGATGCTACAGAAAGAGCTACTGTGGACAACAAAAGTCAACAATATAAAGTTAATGTTGTGTTGTTTTATAGAGTTCAAACACGTAACATGGCTTTACTGCCCTCTTCTGTTTTTCATTTGAAATACAGACAAAAAGGGAAAATTATGAGATTGTCGCTCATTTCTGGGCGAGATGTAATTGAGTATTTTCATTTAAACAAGTGAGAATGCAGCTTCCTGCACGAGAAAAAGGAGACAAAAATAAATAAATTCTACAGGTGGAATAAATGTGGTCAGTCACAGGCTGCAATATGGACTGATTTGGGAAATGCTAGCACTTTTGTTCATATACTTTAAGTTAATGGTTCCATAAAAATCTAAAGAGGCCCCCAAATGATTAACGAGGGGAAATTACTTCTGTTACTCAAAATTATGTTTCTTTTTTCTGACTTTTCGCTAAGTATTTCTCATGAAATACTGCATATTTTACCTCTTCATTTAAATTTAACTACCTGGGATAGCTCACCTGGTAGAACTGGTGCTTCATGTACCAAGGCTCTCTCTCTTTCTCCCCCCTGTCCTATCACTCTTGAGCTGTCCCTATCGAATAAAGGCAATAAAAGCCACAAAACATAATTTCAAATTTAACAGCTGAGAAGAAAATAGTCACCGCTCTCTTATCATGAGGGGGTCGTAAATAAGTCCTGGTTCATCTTAAGGGTTCATGAGCGAAAAACGTCAGGAACCACATATCTCAATATTTTATTAATGGCTCAGAAAAGCACCAGAATGCAGCAAAAAGCGGAGTAGTTGATTTCTTAGAGTACATGGATAGATTTTTCACTGACTTTGTCCTGTAGAGCTTAAGGAGCAGCTGGACAGGGCCATGAGGCTGGAGGAGGAGAGGAGGAGGGTGGAGCAGGAGGCGGCCCGGCTGGAGGCTGAGAGGATGGAGGCCATAATAGCCAAGGAGGAGCTGGCCAGGCAAGCTGAGGACCAGATAAAGAGCCAGGAGCAGCTGGTGAGTACACGGTGCAAGAAATACTCAAATCCCTCACGTGAGAAAGTCGTGATAGAAAAACACTCATTAGAAATAAAGCCGCTACATTCAAGATAAACACATATTAGCTGTTTTAATTGCAGTTTGAGCTAATGCATCCTTGTTTTGGGGGATTTTTCTTGCTTTCCTGGGATTATAGTTCTCTCACAGCTTGAGAAAAGTCTTTCTCACTTTAAAAAATGTGCAATATTCATTATGTAACTGAACTAAACTGAGGTTATTGTTATGTTTTCATGATATTATTTGAAGTAAAATATGAAATCTGAACTTTTAGAGTCAGTAGTAACTACAGCTTTAAGGTAAATGCACTGGAATTAAAAGTACTACATTTATTTATTCACATCACATTTAAACCATTATTAAATAAATGCTGAATTCCAGTCGTGGGTGTTTGATCTCCCTCAGTTCTTTTGTCCGTCCATTCATAAAACGACACCGTGTCCTGATAATTGAGGTCACCGAGGTAAACAGGTGTCTATTCTTGGGCTTTTTGACGACACAGTTTGTGCCTCCTCCCGCAGGCTGCGGAGTTGGCCGAGTACGGCGCCCAGATCGCTCTGCTGGAGGAGGCCAAGAGGGCCAAGGAGGAAGAGGCTGAGTCATGGCACAGCAAGGTGAGTTTTCAACACACGATCAAAGGATATGTATTAAACACACAGGGATTATCTGGAAAATGTCAGAACACACACATTTCTGACATTTTTGTTTGTGATCACGAGCCTCTTTTTTATGTCACCCTGCAATTTTTGTCTTTATTTTGTGTGTTTTATCACTTATGTTAGTATAAAAACGATTATATTTTGTTTAGCAGCTACCTGGGGTGTATTTAAGACCAGGGCAAATCATTTATAAGCAGTATATATACTTAGAAAATTGTTTATCACACACTATTATAAAGTTAGACATAAGTGTTTATTCATAGCTCCTCCTGTGGACACCCATAAGTTGATGCTGGTGTAAAAACAGACGATAAAGACAATATAGTAAAACACACGTTGTAATAAGTAAGTCTATATAGGAGAAGTTATACTTTCTGACAAATGCTGCACATTAAGAAGCACCTAAAATGTGTGAAAAGCTGCTTAAAACTTCCTTATGGGGTTAAAAACCTTTTAATTAAATGTTAAAAAACAGCTTATAAATCTTAAAAAACACGAAGTGTTAGGTTAAATTGAGTCCTGTTGAGAACAAAAATCAGATCTAGTATTTCTGAACGTAGAAATATGGAGTAAAGATTAATAAATATCTCCATGAACTTTGTATTTATTGCGACAATTAATAAATGAAAACTGACCAAGCTGTAAATGAAGGTGTGAGGCCTGTTGCACAATTTCCCCTTTTAATAGCTTGTAGTAATGGAAGAAAAATATATATTCATATCAGTTATCCAAATCTAAATCCTTTGCACTGCACCTTTACCTTTTTACATATATCAGCAGTTTATAACATTTTTATACGTTATATTTCTTTCTTTCTAATCCTTATTTTTTCACACTAGTCTTTGAGTACAACACACACACCCCCTCCACACATTTTACTTATGTGTGTGTGGTAAATAAAGTTTAAAGTCCTTGTATAAATGAGTCACTTTGTTTATAGGAATGAATCAAGCCAACATTCAGGAGTGGAAAAGACAAAGACAGACAGGTTCACGTCGTCATAAATCTGTTTTACAAAAGTTAAATTATGACCTGAGATCAGAGTCCAGCTCTGACTGCTAATTTGTCCATAAACTGGTTCCAGTTAAACTGATACTTAAACTTCAGCAAGTCAAACTACAGCACTGTGAATGTTTGGATAATTTTTTTTTTTACCAAGGACAGCAGATGAAACTCTCCTGTAATATAAACTAAACTTAACCTCTCCTCTTCGTCCCAGGCCGTGGAAGTGGAGGAGAGTCTGATAAAGACGAAGGAGGAGCTGTACAGTGTGAGGAGCTCTACCATTTCAGCTCCCGTTGCCGCTCCTGCTTCCTCTTCCTCCTCCTCCTCGGACAGCGAGAGTGACCACGAGCACAGCGAAGAGAACAGCACCTACAGCGCCGAGCTGCAGACGCAGGACATCAATGACTACCGCCAGGAGGAGGACCGACTCACTGAGGCCGAGAAGAACGAACGCCTCCAGAAACAACTGAAGGTGAGTTCTCGGTCCCAGGATAAAACCCACGTCAAAAACAAGCTCATTTCAGCTGGAGTTTGCATAAAAACCTTTGTTTGGCTACATGCTCAAGAAGAAACTTTTGAATATGCAGTTGAAATACAAAGGGACAGGATTGTGACATTATTGCTTTAGCCCCATATACACTTGTTCTACTTTGAATATACAGTAGAAGTCATGTTATATGGGTTTGCATTGGATTTCATTTGATTTATGAAATTTAAAAGTATCAATAATAATCAGAAAAGACATTTTATTCTATATTCTCTCTAGATAGAAAATAAAAAAACTATAATTAGGGATACAGTGTAACAAAAATGAAATATTTCAGTGCTGGTCAATTATCAGTTTGGGCCAAAGAGTGATAAAAAATTGTAATTTTATGATATTAGAGGAGCAAATTCATTGTCAGGATATACATAAAGTTGCTATAATGTGGGATTATCTTTGTTTTACAGCTTCAAACCTAGTTTAAAGATCCCTTCCAAACATGTTTATGATGAAAAATCCTCAACATTCTTATAATTACATCTATTCTTTCTCCATTATTAGAAAATGCAGAATCTGTGAAAATGCAAATATTCTTCATTTCAAAAGTTTAACACAACATGTCGACTTTTCGTCTATGTATGTGCACTGACTTTAAGTGTTATTTAAATGTAAGTTTCACACTGAAACATGATTGGCTTTTAAACTAGCTGTGATCTCAGAACATCCTGCTTGAATTTTTCACACATGTAAAAACAGCCATCTAGTGACAAAGTCTGCACCGTGAAACATGTTTTTAACCGGAAGGAACTTTAAAATTTGGAGGTAAAAAAGACACTTTACATTATTTACAGTCCTTAGGTCCAGTTTTATAACTTGTATTTGTCATATTCCTGCTAATATATGAAGGGACATCCACAGAACAACAACAGTTTATTAGTTTAAAATGTTTTCCAGTTATCTAAGGCCTGATCAAAGAGAAAGGGCTTCTATCTGGCTACTCAACGATCGTACAAAATTCATCAATCAACCAGAATGTATTGCAGCCACCAGAGGAGTTGTGTTCTGATAAAGCATGCCTCGATTCAAAGATTCAAACTTATTCTCCGGAAAACTGAGAGTCACTATGATTAATTCATTTTGGGACGTTTGTGAAAATCTATCTGTTATAGAAATCACTCAAAAAGAAATGTACTGAGAATATCTACATTTCTTTCTTTATTAAAGTGGAAACAGTGTAAATGTCAGTGTGTCCTTGTGGTTTAGTAACTGGAGTTCTCTTCCTCCCCCCAACAGGCCCTGAGCTCAGAGCTGGAACAAGCCCGAGACAATGACAAAAAGACCCAGAACGATCTGCTCCACGCCGAGAACGTCCGAGTCGGCCGCGACAAGTACAAGACCCTGCGTCAGATCCGTCAGGGCAACACCAAGCAAAGGGTTGATGAGTTTGAGGCCTTGTAGAAACCTCAGAGACCTGAAGATCTCTCCCAGATACCTCATGAAGGCCCCCCGTTCAGCAATGTGTGATGTAATTGCAGCCACACCTGATTTTAAAGACCCAGAAAAGCATAGAGCTGATCTGTGTAAAAGTACCTCCATGAGTTTTAGTTTTTTTGTAACACTCAAACATCTCCAATGTGCTGTTTAGTCCCTTTTAAAGCATTAAAAAGCAGAACACTAGTATGTTCCTGATATATTGTACGAACAAAGCTGGTATGTGAGGTTTACTGTAGAAACTACATATAAACAGTTATTAAAAGTTATTACAGTTTGGCTCTGCGCTTTTGTTATTAAAACTTAGATGTATTTAATGAATTGTAATCACTGCCTTGTAGAACTGCTACTAACAGTTATTTTTATTATTGATTAATGTGTTGATTGTTTTGTCGCTTAATCGGCTTTGTCTATAAAATGTGTAAAAAAAAAAAATATGCAGAGCATGTGTTCCCAGAGCCCAACGTCATGTCTTTATATTGCTTTACTTGTCCAACCAGCAGCTCAAAACCCAAATATATTTAATGTATAATAATAGAGACAAACAGCAAATCCTCACATTCGAGAAGCTGAAAGAAAAGTGCTGATCAGCTAATTGATTAATCCATTAATAGTTTCCACTCTACTGCCACCTGTTGTCTAAATAACAACAGTTTATTTAACTAGTTTTAATGTCCTTATGATGATTTTAAAAATGAATTGGTTTTATGATTTTACTTAATACAGGAATATTTTCGATGTTTGGATGTTATTTAAATTACGATCTGGAGTGTTTTCATTCTGGATTTAAAGGATGTTTCCATCCTGTTTATGTAATGTCATTATTTCAGGTAAAATCTACATACAAGAGGACGTGTAGGATTAAAAGCCGCAGACTGGTTTTCAGTCTCTAGCACGGATCCTTTAAAAGGTCCGACCTGCCTCTTAAAGCTATAATATGTAACATTTCCACATTAAAATGTCTATAAACACTTATGTTATATATTTTATTGAGTTGTGTACTTACATTATCCCAAATGTTTCCAGCAATGTTTAAAGTCAATCAGTAATTTTATTCAGCTAACGGTGCGTTTTACCGGTCGCCTGTTAATGGCGTCACATCCCCGTTGTGGTTGTCTGCCAGAAGCTGTTGTTAAGTTGTTTTATTGTTTTATTGGTTTTTACATTTTAAGACACAACGATTTTGGTTGTTTTTAACAATATATTTTAACCTGATTAAGGATTTTAGGATCTTAAGTTAT